ACTACTACTACTACTACTACTACTACTACTACTACTACTACTACTACTACTACTACTATCATCCTTCTGCCATTGTTTACTTGAACGTGTTGATGTGTGAGTTGAGTTTGGTTTTGCAGGACAAACAAGCCACCCACTCTGTTCAGCAAATGGGCGGTCATAAGCAAATACCCGTGGCCCGAGTGTCCTAGAGTGAGAGAAGGCCAGTCTCTTGTTTGTCCTTGTCCTCTCTTCAGGATGTCCTGCCTTAGAGAGTTTCTGGCTCACTTATTTGGATGCAAGAAGGTGACACAGGGCCAAGAAAAGATGATTGGGTGAGTGGCATTGCTTCTGCCATCCCTATCTAACTCCTGTGCCCCCTAATCAATCCGAATCCCCCGTCAAAGGCCCACATACACCTACCATAATATTCACAAGAATGCTATTTTTCCCGAAAGCGTCGTGAAGGGTTCTTTGGAAAAGGCGGTTGCCTGCTACACAGCTGACTTACGCAGCGTGACTGACACAGCCCGACTTACTTACAAAGCCTGGCTTACACACAGCCTGACTTACTCAAACTAACTTACGCAGCCTGGCCTACGCCGCCTGACTCACGTAGCCTGATTTACGCAGCCTGCCTTGCGCAGACTGACTTTCGCAGCCTAGCTTACGCAGACTGACTGACGCAGCCTGACTGACGCAGCCTGACTTACGCAGCACTTGCGCAGCCGAAGCTCGCAGCCTTTAATAAATGCTATGTTCTTTCTCAGCAGGGGGTAGGTCTGGCGGGCGTTGGAGCGCTCTCGAAGTGGCGCCGTGCAAGTTTTCAGCGTCGCCCGCGAACCCTCTGCGGAGATTGTGCGTGTCGGGTCGCTCTCGCTGTGGCGCCGTGCGAATCTTCAATGTTGCCCGCGAACCCTCTGCGGAGATTGTGCGTGTCAGATCGCTCTCGCCGTGGCGCCGTGCGAATTTTCTACGTGGTCCGGAGATTGGGCGTGTCGGATCGCTCTGGCTGTGGCGCCGTGCGACTTTTCTACGTGACCCACGAACCCTCTGCGGAGATTGGGCGCGTCGAATCGCTCTTGCTGCGGGCGCCGTGCGAATTTTAATTCTCGCCGACGAACCCTCCGCGGAGATTGTGCGTGTTGAATCGATCTTGCTGTGGTGCCGTGCGAATTGGATCGCTCTCGCTGTGGCGCCGTGCGAGTTTGCAACTTCGCCGACAAACCCTCTGCGGAGATTGTGCTTGTCGAATCGCTCTCGCTGTGGTTTCGTCAAGTTTAAGTACAAAAGTAGTACACGAAGCACGCTCCCGCAGCTCCGGCCTGAGAATCGCAAGTTTTAAGTCTAGAAAAGTAGTATGCGAAGTGAGCTCCCGCGACTCGGGCCTGAGAATTGCACATTTTAAGTAGAAAAGTTGTACGCGAAGCACACTCCCGCAGCTCCGGCTTGCAAAAAAGGAGAGAAAGAGACAGAAAGAGAAACAGACAGACAAAGGGAAGGAGAACGAAAGAGAAAGATAAAGAGAAACAGTAAGAGAAACAGAGAGAGAGAGAGAAAGAAAGAAAGAAAGAAAGAAAGAAAGAAAGAAAGAAAGAAAGAAAGAGAGAGAGAGAGAGAGAGAGAGAGGGAGGGCAGGGGGAGGTGGAGGGGAAAGGGAGGGAGAGGGAGAGGGAGCCGTAGAGAAACGGAAAGAGAAAAAGAGAAAGACAGGGAGAGAGAAAGAAAAAGAGAAAGAGAAAGAGAAGAGAAAGAGAAAGAGAAAGAGAAAGAGAAAGAGACAGAGACAGAGACAGAGAGAGAGAGAAAAATAGAAAAAGATAGAGAAGGATAAAAAGAAAGAGAAAGAGAACAAGAAAAGAGAGAGAGAGAGAGAGACTGCAAGAAAGAAAAGGACAGAGAAAGGGAAGGAAGGAGAGAAAGGGAAAGAGAAAGAGAAAGATAAAGAGAAAGCGAAAGAGAAAGAGAGAGAAAGAGAGAGAGAGAGAAAAGAAAAGAGAGAGAAAGAGACAGAGAGAGAGAGAGAGAAATACACAGAAAGAAAAAGTGAAAGAAAGAAAGACAGAGAGATGGAGAGAGAGAGAGAGAGATCAAGAGAAAGAAAACAAATGCGAAAATGAATCACGAAGAGAACAGAAAAAGAAAGAGAAAGAGAAAAGAAAGATAAAGAGAAAGAGAAGGATACATATAAAGAGAAAGTGAAGGTGAAAGAGAAAGAGAACGAGAGAGAGAGAGAGACGTATAGAACCTTTTGCATTTGTCAAGCGAGGGCGAAGCGATTGTACAGCGGCGCGTGCCCAGCTCAGTGTTGAAAGCGCGGGCTTGGTTGCGCAGTTTCGCGTTCCGCCGCTTAGCATTGCACATGGATTATGAAGCAATGCTGCAACGCGATTGCTGCTTGCTAGAAATGGGTTGCTTAGATGTTTGTTTAGCGTGTGTAAGTGTAGGTTTAAGACTTTCAGTTGTGGAGTAGAGTAGTGCCTGGATACGTGGCACGACGCAGTGCACACAAGCAACAGCACACCTGTGTGCATCGCAACATTCTTGCATCACCTTTGTCACACGCGTTTTCGGGATATCTGGGGTCTAGTTATAGTTCATTCCGGAACATTTATGTGTTTTAATCAGGTCATCACATGTTTCCCATTTCAAAGACAATAATTCCAAGAAGGAGTTACGCATTGCTGTTCTGATAAACATTTGCTATAACGGAGACATTTTAGTTTGGTTGTGGTTTATTAACAAGGTTGAGTCTGAGTAATTGTTATGTGACATTTAATTTACATAGTGGTGGGTAACATATGCATTCTACAAAATACAACTGTTATCACATTTTGGTATGCCATAGAATAAGCTAATAGGTCCAATATGTAGCTTTAAGTGAATGACACATGCATGCAGCGGGCTGGCTAGCGCATATTATGACCATTGTTGGTAAGAATTGAGATTGACAAACTTTGGCATCAATGGTTTGTATTCCCCACAGTGTGTCTAATCTAAGGGGCTCCTACGGTAGGAGTGCAGGGCCAAAGTAGATTGGGGGTGCTCTTTTTGTGCTTTTCGGCTGGATCCACTGTTGTTGTTTACAGCCCGTTTAGGGCTACCCCCCGTTGACCAGTTGGTTGGTTGGTTGGTTGGTTGGTTGGGTGGTTGGTTGGGTGGTTGGTTGGTTGGGTGGTTGGTTGGGTGGTTGGGTGGTTGGTTGGTTGGTTGGTTGGTTGGTTGGCTAGGTGGTTTGTTGGTTGGCTGGCTGATTGAGTTGCTTGGGCTGAGCCGGTTGCATCCCCAGCTTCACCGGCCTCGGGCCCATTGGCTTGGTGTGAGGGCAGTTCAGAGTGGATCGGGGCTGGTTTGGTGAGTGTTGGGCTTTGCGGAGGTCTTAATGAGAGTGGGGCATTGCCCCACAACCAATCCCAAACCAGCCCACAACTTATTTAAAACAGCCAAAAGCTAAACCAGCCACACACCTAGAACAAATCAGCCCCAAGCCAACCAAAGCCGACCCAGGTTCAACCTTAAACCCTCCCAACAGCATCCTGGATATCAGACCTTTGCCGAGCCTAAATGAACCTCAAACAAAGCCAAGACCCGCCCTCAGTAAGACCTCAGCAAGCCCAATTCACCCCAAACCAGCCCCGAGCAACCCTGAATCGCCACCAAATCAACAAAGGCAGGAACCACGCAGCAGATGTTGATTTCGATGCTGAAAATTCGCGCCACAGCGAGAGCAATCGAACAACCCCAAAGTCCGCAGAGGGCTCACCGACCACCGTTTTCAGAATTCGCGCGGCGCTACAGCGAGAGCACACATTGAAAGACACCAAAATCGTCGAAGCACTTTGCGCAAGCCCGCGCAATTGAAACGCACATGAACATCTCACAAGGGAACTCTTGCACCAGCCTATGCAGCCGAAAAGGGTTGGGTGATTCTTCGTTTTTTTTTGGTTTTGTTTTTTTAAAGCTACCCCCGGCTAAACTTCTAAAATAGGCACGGTAGCTACTGATCCTTTGCGAACTTTTTGTGTGTTGAATCCCCGTCATTCTGGTGAGGTGCGCAGGTTGAACATCGAAAGTGAACCTTTTGCGGAGATTGGCAGGGGCAGATCGCTTTCACTGTGGCGCGGTGCGAACTCTGAATATCGAAGGTGGACCCTCTGCGGACTTTGTGCCGCGGTGCAAAGTATAGATGTTGAAAACAGGACCTGTAAAGATTATCTTGCAGAAGATCTTGCAGAGGGTACTCTCTTCATAGATGCTGGACGGAAAGCTTTCTTTGATATATCAAGGATATTTTTATGGGTTTCGTACCCCAAAGATATACTTGAGAGATTCTGCACGGAGCTCTCTTCAAAAATATTGTAGATTGTGTAGCGGATTCCTTCTATAGATTTTAAAGACAGAACTTGTAGAGGATGTTCTTGGAGATTTTGCACCCATATGGCTAAGAGATAGATCTTAATAAATAGGCTAAGAGATAGATCTTAATAAATAGTTTACCTTTGGATTCTGTAAAGATCCTCCTATAAAGATTTTATGGATTGTGTAGAGGATGGTTTATAGACATGTGTCAGAGACATGTCGGGCGATTCTTCACGAACTTTTTGAAGGGCTAGAAATACGCGCAAGACCTGCTCTGCAAGTTCTGTGTGATTATTTTGTGATATGAAATATGTGTGAAGGCTTCTTTTGATCCCCAAACAGCGAAGCATTGCCTGTCTCCCCACGTCTCCGGTCAGACCTGCTTTCCCCCCCTGTGTCTCGCAGTCTCTTCGGTCAGATGGCAGATGCTGCGACAGTCGTGTGGTTTTCTGCATCTCCCACACTCTCCGGGCAGATGTGAGATGCTCCGCTCCCACCGTCCTCTTGTCTCCCAGTCTGTCAGATGATCTGTGTCCGGTCCAATGCCAGATGACAGGGTCGATGTCTCCCGCTTGCCCCCCTGTTTTGTCAGTGTCTCCGGTCAGATGTAATTCTGGCAGGTATGTTGCTCGGAATCAAGCCAATGCTGATCTCCGGGCCTGAGGCAGGCGAATTGGCTCAAGCGCTCAAGCCAGCGTGCGTTGGGTTTCGGCGTTGGGCAGCAAGCATGTTTTGCTACTGCTGCGATGCCAAACAATCCGACATGGAGCTCAAGCCCGTCGACGTGATGCCAGTGACTTTTGGCCTTTAGGGGGACCTGGCGGGCCTTTTGGATTGTCACTGCCTTTCCGCGACCTTTAGGAAGTCTGGGCTCTTCGCTTGGTTGGGTTGCTTCGCGACTGGCAAATTGAGGGACGCGCATGGTCAAATGATGCCGCTGTGCTTGCCGAGGGTGTTGCTTTGGCCGAGACAGACAGGAACGCAAGTGTCCAACTCTTGGAACTGATGGTTTGTTGCAGCTCAAAATGGGCCAACTTTAAGAAAGTCTGAAGCCTTGGTTTGCACTTGCCCTTTGACAAACAGCCGGCCAAGAGTCCAAAAGAACAGATTTAACTCACTTTTCCAATCATTTGCCAACGTGTGTGAGCTTGCACTTGCATAAAACCGGATCCATAGACAACAAAAAGGAATATCACGCTTTGGCGTTTTTTGCCTGTCCTGGATTCAATTGCTTCACGCAGGCCCAGCACAGTTTCTCGAAATGGGTGGCAAGTTTTGCCGGTGGCTTGAAGACCCAACAAGGCCAGGTGCAGCTAAGTCAGGCCACTGGCTAAGCAAGATCCAACAAAGCTAGTGCCAACTGTTCAGAACCTGCGCGGGAACTTGAAAGATGATCTTTGAAGTGGCTGGTTTTGAGGCACGGGCTGGGATCTGGGATCGTTCCGTATGACTCGGCTTGACGATTCGTTCGGACTAGCCAAAGGTGGAGAATGTGGAGGGAGTTCGGTGTATGTTCAGTCTGAGTTGCTCGGGTGCGGAACTGTTGATACAAGGGCTAGGACCAGCCCTTCAGAGCATGTGGCATTTGTTGGCGACTTTGTCAGGTCAAACGTGCAGCCCTGGTTTTTTTTGTTTTTTCTGCGTGTCACTAATGAGCCCAACAGTGTCACCAATTGTCACCCCTGAATTTGTCACTACGTGTCACACCCCTAAAACATTGTCACCTCTTTGAAACCCTTTGTAAACGGCAGGAGGCACAGGTCCCAAAAGGCGTGTCTGTTTCTAGGGAACCCGCAAAATGGCGGGTTTGTCTTTTGGTTTCCCTTTCAGCCACAGAGAAAGAGGTGCCCCCCAAAAAAGACAAGTCAAATGGGGAATGTAACCAGCTCCCCGTGTTGCAACTCGTAAGGCTCGAACGAGAGGAGCTCGTGGAGAAGCGAGAGCCACAAGAGCCAGTGCACCCTGGCAGATGGCCACAGCTTGCCAGATGGATTGTGCGTGAATACGGAGGGAGGAAGGTTGGGAAGGGGGCTGGATCGTCTTGCTGGTGCTCAGCAGGGAATGAGGGAATGAACCCAATAAACTTAAACCATCCCCTATGGTTTCCTTTCAGGGCAAGTTCATTCCCACAATCCCTACTTATCGCGCAAGCAAGTCGTGCACGACATGTCAGCCCTGAGGCAAGATGCCACCCCGGAGGCCAAGGCAGCGAGTCCGCCAGCGAAGGCTCCGGAGCCGAAAGCGGTGGACAGCGGGGTCTTCACGGCTCCTTGGGCCAAAGTCAGGGGCGCCCGCGGGTTGCGAAACGTTGCAGGTAGACTGTACTAGGCTTGAGATGTATTCCCATGACGTGGGGTTAGGGCAAGTTAGGGTACCTGAATGTGTTGAAACCAGTACGTGGCTGGGATGCTCATGCTTGCTTGCTGAAGCAACACAACCAACAAAGCCTTCCTTTGTGGAGTATGTTTGATGTCGTGGTGTTGCTTCATGTTTTTTGCACAGCCAAGGTGACAAAGCCACGAGTAGCAATCAAGAGTCCTTTCTGAAACAGCCATCCAAGTCACACCTTGAACAAATGTGGTGTGATCCCTCTTATCATCCTCACCGTCTGAAGAAAGGCCTTGATTTGCTCGCCTTTCTTTCTGTTCTCCCCGAAAAGGCATCAACAGTTTGGTCACAAACAGTCCAGAGACATTGCCCTTCAAGGTTCTCAGCCTCCCTGTAAGCCATGTGTGCGATTTTGCCATCTCCGGCGGCATTTGGCAATTCCCTTGTCAGAATCTACGCATCGGGAAGATCTGACGGAACAAGGCCTCTCTGTTGAGCTTCGTTTGGTCATTTCTGATGTGGGAAGTTGAGGTTTGCTTGCCCGTGTTTTGTTTGGGTTCGTGCACAAGGGCCCCTATTACATCCAAACCCCTGCTCCTCACCGAACATGTGCCTTCTCCAGCATGACTTGGTTACGTTGCGAACCGTTCCGGTAAATCTCTTGTGCGATATGACAAAGATACTTGTTCTCTTTAGCGAGGCGCAAACGAATAAGTATTGCTGTATGAATGAAGGCTGTTAGTTGTTAGCCTCTGCGCCAATCTAGACGCTTGAATCAGTGTTTGGCCCGTCGACCATGTATGTGAGGCACCATGTAAGTGAGGCCAAGGCGATGCCGTTCTGTTTGCCGTGGAGACCTTTCTTCCTATCTGGGTATGGGTCAAAATTAAACCACCAGGGGACCGCAGATTTGAATCCTTCTTTCCATGTACCCGGGTTCCAACGGTGCTACCTATTTTTGACCCACGCGCATCTCGTGTTTGCAGAAAACTCCCCTGGGACCTTTGCAGACGAGTCTCCCTGGAGATTCGAAGCGCAGAACAAGGCAAGTTCCAGGCATGGCAGCGGTGGACCTAGACAATGCTGACCCCAGATGAGCAAACCCCTGTTGATTAATATGCCTGGGGAGCTGTGCGTGCACGTCCGCGCTGGACTATCCCTTAGCCGCAAGGGTGGAGAGAGCCCAAGCAAAGTATGTGAGTGTCCCTGGTTTTAGTGGGAAGTCAACCCACTTTTGGAAAAAACGAGCCCCAACCCGAACCCCCTGCTTTTTGGTGGGGAATCAAACCACTTTTGTTGAACAAGTACACCAGCATAGACCCCAGATAGCAGTGCTCGCACAGCACCTCCAAAGGCACTTTCCCCTCTTTATTAGAAGTTAGAACCCCTATAGCTTTCAGCTATCTGGGGAACTATGAAACAAAGCCACCCCCCCAACTTTCCCCGGAACCCTTCGAAGTGGATGGCGCTGGAGGCCAGCATCGCGATGCCGGAGAAGCCGCGCACGCTGGGCCTGGAGTGGGATGACATCGACGCGAAAGGCCGAGACCGGACCCGAAGAGCCACGAGGATGTGTCTAGGTCCCTCAGCTAGGTGCCCTTCTCTCCCCTTTTTTTGGTTGGGAGGTGCCCTTTGGCCAACTTTTCTGGGGGAGGGTTTCTGTACTGAAATGGACAAAACCGAAAAAAAAAGGGTACCAACTTGCTCTAACCTCTCTACTGGAGGACCTAGTTTAAAGAGCCAGGGTTGCGCCGGTTTTAGTCTTTAGTTCCATATGCCAAGGGTCCAAACATTTTGGACCCCCCAGCTTTGAGCCACAGCCAAGAAGTCCTCCCAGTTGTCGCGAGGAGAGTAGAGTTATGTTCCTTAAGGCTCCTTTGGATTCCTTTCGCACCCTCGTTCCATTTGATAGGGTTCTACTCCTTCTTGCACGCTATGCACACCTTATCTTCAGGGATCTGGAAGAGTTTGCTTTACACATCTTGCACGGGTTCAACCCTATCCTCGATGAACATGAGTAAAAAACCGTTGAAAGCCTAACGCAAGTGCAGAAACGCCGGCTTGTTCCCACCACAGCACGGTGGTAGTGACGCACGGCATGTTGAGAGCCTGCGGCTGATGGCCGGCCGATGTAGCGATCCCCAGCTTGAAGCCCATTCTTTGCGCCAATTCGGACATGCTATGATACATACTCCGTGGCAACCCATATCAGCCAGACATTGCCTTTGACGCCAGGGCCAATGATCGTCGGATTCTCCGAGGGGATTGTGCTGAAGTTCAACCAGGATCGGGGGAAGGAAACTCCTGGTGCTTGCCTAGATGAAGGTTAGTAAGGGACAATCCCTACCACAAATAGCTGCGGCCGCCATCTTATTTCTTTACATGGTTCTGGGTCGACCATTTTAGTACCTTAAAAAAGTTAAATAAAAATATTATGACTCACCTGCCTTTTTCAGGCGCTCCCTGGGGTGGCTGAGTCTCCCGCCGCTCGAGATAGCCCGCGCAGAATCAGAGCGCTGCGCAGACAAACCAAGAGTAGAAGGCGACACTTGAAGACTCTATGTACGTCTCACTCTCTGAGTTCCTGGACTGTATAAACTTCTTGAGAAGACAAGTTTAGTGACCGTAAACAATCAGTTTGGTGACTTTTTGCTTTGCCAACCCACTAGATTGGAAGTGAGTAGCGCACAAATTGTGGACATCCTGCAGGTGCATCGTGAGCTGAGAACTGCTAAATCAATTTGCTGGGTGTGTCTTTAAACAGGGTACTTGTTGCTTGGACGGGTTTAAAGGGAACCAACAGGACACCGACGCCCAAGTTGTGTTTGTTTTGCTATTTTGAGACAAACCGACGTCGACAGAAGTGAGCCTTGAAGCCTGAAGCATGGGTCAGCGTGCCTCGTAGGCCGAGGCTGACTGAGTGCTTTGAAGACCTCGTTACATCGCTTGAGGCCTCACTAGAGACCTCGCTAGACCCCCACAGTCCCTGTTCTGATTTGTCAAGGAGCGCCTCCAGAGAAGTCAAGCGTCATACTGTGTCCATATGAATTGCCGCCCAGCTGCCAGACCGCTCCTGTTCGTTCTACAAGCTTGAACGCCTTTTTGAGTACGAGCAAGGGCTCTTAGCATAAATGGCTGTGTCCATGCGAACCAGCGCAACTTTTGACATTGTGAGCCTTACCCAGGCACCATTTTTAGACCACGTGCCTGTGGGGAGTTAAATTACCATACTTCTGATGCGACTCTTTGAGACTGAGGCCACTGCAACCCTTGCAGTGTTTCTGAAAAGGTGGCTTTTCCTCTCAAACTAGTTGGCTTTTTCCTGTTGATTCCAACCAAAAAGTGGCTTTTCCTCCCAACATGCCCTAAACTCAAAAAATAGTTTTTTCCTCCCAAACTACCAACCAAAAAACCGGCTTTCCTCCCAAACTACCACCCAAAAAGTGCCTTTTCCTCCTAGAGTGGCCTTAAAAGTTGCATTTCCTCCCAGAATGGTCTAAACTGCCAGCCAAGAAGTTGTTCTTCCTCCCAAAATGGCTTAAATAGCCAACCAAAAAGTACCTCAGCCAGCCAAAAAGTTGCTTTTCCTCCCAAAAGGGCTTAAACAGCCAGCCAAACAGTTGCTCTTCCTCCCAAAAATGGCTTAGACTGCCAACCAAAAAGTGGCTTTTCCTCCAAAGATTGCTCAAACTGCCAACCAAAAAGTTGCTCTTCCTCTCAAAATGGCTTGAACATCCTCCTGGAATGGCTTAAATTGCCAACCAAAAAGTGGCTTTGCCTCCAAAAAAAGCTTAAACAGCCAACCATACAAACCGCTTCCTCCCAAAATTGCTTAAACAGCCAGCCAAAAAGTGGCTTTTCATCCCAACATAGCTTAAACAGCCAACCAAAAAGTTGCTCTTCCTCCCAAAATGGCTCAAACAGCCAACCAAAAATGTGGCTTGCCGTCCAACCAACAAGTCAAAATGGCTTAAGCTAACAACCAACAAGTGGTTGGTTTCTCTCTGTTTTCGTCTGGCTTCTCCCAGCGCGCCAGGATCAGCCGGCCAAGGCGCTGCGGGTCTACGACCGGATCACCAGCGTGAAGGGGGCCTTTGGACACGTGAAGAAGTGCCCTGACTCGGAGAGCGGATGGGTTTTGGACCCGAGCCAAAACTTCCATTTGCTTAAGAATATGTTATATTTTCTCCTGTTGGTTTTAAAGGGAATCTATGACTACTGGATTTGTTTTGCAGGGGGCTTACGCAAATGGAAGAAAAGCAAGATGTGTGGCTCACACTGGTTTGGAGCCAGGGGCAGGTTTTTGAGTCTTTCCCAGGTCCCATGTTGGGCGACATGAAAGGATGGCTCAGACCATTTTAGTGGTAAATATAAAGTTTGGACTTTTTTTGGTCCATCCACTCAGCAAGTGAGTTTGAGTCTTTCCCATCAAGGTCCCATGTTTGGCGACCCCAAGGATGGCTCAAAAAATGTTTTGGCGCCGGAAAACAGCTTCGGCGTCTGAAAAAACCCTCGGTGCAGAGGATCCATGGGATGAGTCCTCCAAGGTCCTGCCCGAAAACAGCTTGGAGTCGACTCTGCCATGGCTTGGTTCCATGGATGATTTTTGAGCCATACCCAGCAAGGTGGAAGTTTGGATTTGCGGGGGGGGGGGGTGTTCACCATGAGTTCGCTGGCGTGACTTAGTTTATACATGCGAGTTGTGTGCGAGGGGGGGGGCGGCAGTTTCCAGGGCAAGAGGCTCAGGGCATTGGGAACTTGGTTTGGGAGAAAGTTGGGTGTAACTTGTTTTCTGCTTGTTGTGGGAGCAAGTGTCAGGAAAGCCCACGCCGAAAGGTCGCAGACCGGGACGCAGCGTTTATGAATCATGGGCTTGAATCACATTGCGTGGGCTCTTGCTGGTTGTCCTTGCTGGCTGCCGAACTTCATATTCTCGCAGTCCAACAGTACGCCCAACTGCATGCTCTCAGTATGCTGTCATTGCTTGGGCCCGGGCTTGCCAAATCATGCCAATTCTTATGAAAGCAGTCTGCTTATGCAGCTGTTGACCTTCGGATGCATTCTCCCTGGGAGCAGGCGTGCAGGTTTGGAACAGAGGGTGCATGGGTAAGTTAGTTGCATGCCTGAAGTAGTGAGGCGGTGGAAACGACACTAGATGGGCTTTTTGGCCAGCCACAGGCGCAAGGGGGTTTGTCATTTCTGACACGCCTTTTGAACAAGGCCGGCGCAGTTAAGGAGTCAACGATGGGTGGTTTGCAGTTGTTGGTTTGACCTGGGCCTTTTAGCCTGGATACTAGCTTCCGATTCTCGCGTCTATGTTTCGACGATTATTCTGCTTGACTAACGCCGCGCAGCACGTATATTCATATCGCACAGCTACCGGCAAACTTGGCAATAGGGTCCCGGGAGGCCCAAGCTGTGAGTGTGCCTTGCTCAAGCCGGAACACTTGGTTGGTCGGAAACGCCGCGCCTGGAATGCATTTGCGCATTATTACAAAAAACTGGTTGAGGAAGACTTGGCCAACAGCCAGGGCTTCCATACTAGGCCCCCGAGCTAGGTGCCCTTTTACCCTTTTTTGGTTGGGAGGGTTCCCCTACTAAAATAGACTACAGAAAAAAGGGTACCAACTTGTTCTAACCTCTCTACTGGAGGGCTTAGCATACAAGATGTTTGGCATTCCCATGCACTGCAGGCCACGTTTTCCGCAAGGCGCGAAGCTTCTAAAGCCGAGGCTTTGCTCCAGCCTGCAAGCGGCTATGGAAAAGGACGAGCCTTGGCGCAATTTTTCGGAACCCGCCATCGGCTTGTAAAGGCACTCGGCCAACGCGGCTTCCACATAAGGTTGACCCCATATCAATCAACCCTTGTTTGTTAATAGGGGGCTATCCCAGGGTGTAGTGGGGAATCGTTACTCTTGGAGGGGAAAGCCCCCCGGTTAATAAACTGGGTTGATAAATATGGGGTCATCAAGGCATTCGCATGTTTTTGGATCTGGTTGGAAATCGATGGCACTGGTGGCATGTTGGATGAAGGTCCCTATTATGGGGGCCATGACCATGATACTCTTGGATGAGGTTTAGATATGACATGTCTTGAACGTTTGCTGAATGGCAATGCGTGTCTGATTTTCCTTTCCTTGCCTTTTTCTTTTTTTAGGATTGCCTCCGAATCACGTGCTCTGGTTGTCCTCGCGTGCACGCGTCCGTTTGATGAACAAGCATAATACTTGCTTGATCCTAACTAGCAGCTCTCTTTGTCAAGATGCTCAGTATGAGGCCGGTCTTCTAAGCATTTGGTTGGTTGAATGAGCGGCGCCGACATGTACTCGCTGGACATGTATTCGTCAATGGCAAACGAATTGCCATACAACTCCCTGTTTGTTATTTCTGCGGGTGCTGACTCTTCAAGGTGAGGGATGAGGGAGCAACCATGAGCAACCTGCGTTTCGGATTTCTTCCAAGTTGTTTTTCTTTTTTCTTTTTTTTCGGGAACCGAAAGGCTGGCGCAGGGACATAGTTTGAGAACCGCTTTGCTAGAACAGCGCGCAAGGCAAGCTCCATCTTAAAAGGTTTCCGAGCAAAAAGTATGCCGACTGTCACTGTCGCATGAAATTTGCTTTCTCAGCCTGTGCATTCAGCGAAGTGACGGCAAATGACAAGGGTTCGGTTGGAGCGAGCTGGAAGGTGCTGTCTGCCATGGTATTCCTCGAGTCCGAGGCGCATGTGGATGGACGAACTGCACCACCCAAAAAACCCTGGAATGAGTCGATTCTCCGGTAAATACCAACAAACGAAAGATTTCCCATTTTTGCTTAGGTGCTGCGAAATGGATTTCGTCCATCCACAATGCGATTCCTCAGTACGTTCGGTGCATCGGTCGGTGCATCGCTCCTTGGCTAGGCCCCCCAGCAGCGCCCGTCCGTTTACCCTTTTTGGGGGAGGGTTCCAGCAAAACAGACTACGCGCAAAAAATCGGGTACCAACTTATTCTAACCTCTCTACAGGACCTAGATATACGCATGGATTCGTAACCAGCCATGCAAAAAAAACTCGTGGGTTCCAGGGCTTTTCCTTGGGATTCTTCAAGGACGAGCTGGTGGTCACCGTGACGCGGCCGAAGCAGCTGTCCATCTCGGTGGCCAAGGGCGACGAGCCGCTCGGAGCCCAGCTGAACTTCAAGGACTCCTCCGCGGGGCGCCTTGGCTGGGGCCGAAAAAGGTTGCCGTCGACCGATCCCAGAATGGGATCGATCCCAAAACGGTTTTGACTGGTAGACCTACCAAAATGGGATCCCATTTTGGTTGGTAGGTGAGTTCGCCACCCATTTTAGTACCTATTTTGGTGGGGATTGGTTGATGTTCACTGGGGGGTTTTAATTCCGCTGGTTACGGGGTTGCCCACTGAATGAACATGAAGCAAGAAGAGATTCCGACCGTTTGCCCGTGTTGAAACAGGAAGGGATTTTCTTGCAATGGGAGTGCGCAAGTAGGTACTTGTTTCTTTTTGTCGACCAAGAAGGGTCCACACACACACACACACACTGCACACGTAAGTGGTGCTTTAGACAACATGAACATGGATAGCGCATCGGAATCGACAGACCCGATAGGGCTTAACTGATGCGGGTTCACAAGACTTGCAAGTGTAGGCAGGTGAACATTGGGATGTGTGTTCGTGGTCATTATCAACCTTTGAATATCTTTGAATAGTGGAGGTAGGTAACCATTGTAAGTAGTCCTCAACTGTCTTCTCAGGGTTCCGCGCTGCACAAGGAGCGTTGGTCATAGCTCAAATTAATCGCCCGCAAGTTGCATCATAGACCAGAGCAGGCAAGCTGGCCTTCTAGCTGCAGGCATGATTGTACGAAAGAGCCCGTGTATTCTAGCTTCCCTTAGTGAACAGTTCAACACTTTGCCTTTGAGCACCGATGGGACTTGGGAGCGGCGAGCCACAGTCGCCGGGTTCTCGGCGAGCTTTGAAGTCAATGTCTTGTCTTTGCTGCTCCGTGGAAGTTGCAAAATGGCGTGCCCCTTTTGTTCTTCCTGGCAAAATAAAGTCGAGAGTTGCCCTGCAACGTAAGTGGCCCTGACACGAGCTTGATGGGCCATATGACAGCAAAGTTCATGGTAGCCCAGCATGTCATTTTGCGGCGTGCCGCGTGAGGCTTACTGTCGTCCAAGTTGCAGATGGAGGACGGGCATGCGGACCCAAACCTCGCATGTTGCGAAGCCACTCGAATCATCTTAACGGAGGTAGGAAGTTGTCTGGTTTGTGTGTGTTTGTGCACACCTGCATACCTGCATAACAAACAAACAAGTGTGTGTGTGTGTGTGCGTACGTACATGACATGTGTGCTTGCGTGCAGGCACGCATGCCTGACCCAGATACACACATACAAGCAAATACTAAAACAAATGACATACATACACACATACATACACACATGCATTCTACATACATACCTACCTACCTACCTACCTACCTACCTACCTACCTACCTACCTACCTACCTACATACATACACACATTCACACATTCACACATACATACATACATACATACATACATACATACATACATACATACATACATACATACATACATACATACATACATACATACATACATACATACATATACATACATACATACATACATACATACATACATACATACATACATACATACATACATACATACATACATACATACATACATACATACATACATACATACATACATACATACATACATACATACATACATACATACATACATACATACATGACATACATGACATACATGATACGGACATACATACATACATACGTACGTACATACATACTTACTTACTTAAATGCATACATACATACATACATTCATCACAGGGCCAATGAGTTTGGGGAGCTGTGCATGCCCTGTCCGCGCTGGACTAACCCTTGGCTGCAAGGCTGGAGAGAGCGCAAGCAAAAAAATACATACATTCATGCATACATGCATGCACACATGCCTGCATGCATACATACGTACACACATGCACATGCCAATTTGATGCAGACGGGTGTTATTTTAGTACGGGGCACTCATCATCAGGGGTCATTGCAAGAATACACGAGACTATGACTATCGAAGGGTGGGCTGCCACCACACAGCTAGCTACCACCGAATGTCCACAAGATGTGGGCTGGGTTTGGGGTTCGAAATGCGCAAACAGCGCCCGGTCGGGGGCGCAGAGGAGCGCTTGCAAAGTGGAACACCGCCAATCCCGAGAACGCCATCCTGCCGGGAGATCGCGTCATCAAGATCAACGGCAAGCTGCTCAAAGGCCACTTTCTTGCTTTGATGCATTTTGCTTGGATGTTAGGCTTTAACCTTTTTGCCAACTAATGGGTTTTCCATTAAACCACTAACAGTTAAACTTTCAGCAGGGATCAGAAAGCAACCGAGCTTGTTTGGGAAAGAGTCAGGCAGTTGATTGGTTGTAAAAGTGCCAACCTACGGGTTCCACTTGTGCGGCAAACTCAAATGGCCACTGGTTTTCTGTCCGCGCGCTTAAATAGAAGTGCAAAGGGTTGATGCGACATTGTGTACCAGCCGATCTGGCGACCTCAACAGCTTTCTTGGATACCTGGAGAGGAAGGATGTCGGAAGAGACTGTTCTGTTGAATTGCAAGAGATGTCGCAATGTTTGGAGCAGTTTCATGCGGAAACTACGGTTCAGCTCTGTTTGGCTTGCTTATTGTCATGTTCCAGGTCCGCTTCCTCTTGACTGCAACTGCACCCATACCCAAAAACATGTAAGCGCACAGGGCCGAAGGACACAACCCGGACCAAGATTACAGCCATACTACACCAAAAACTATGGTGCTACCAAACTTTCTGAAGATACCAAACTTAAACAGAAACTGTCATAGGACTGAATCAGTTCTTAATCAGCAAAGTCAAACGAGGAAAAATTGGTTTGGACCCTGCCAGGTGGTCAGATGGTGGAGGCGTTCAAGAAGGAGAGTTTCACCAGTCAGCTGGTCCGTGTTTTGAGTATTGAGGGCCGTTTGGGTTGGTCTCAAGGTGTGGGTAGGGATCAACCGGATCTGTGCCACCAGTGCTTTTTCTTGAACAGATGAAAACAGGGCAAAGAGGCTTCCTGCTCCGTCCGCAAAAGAGTGAACGCACAAGCTCTCTGGGAATCTCACGAAAGCATTCCCAGCAAGTTGGCAAGCCCGAAGCTTCTAGCCGGAGTGGGTCAGTCCTGAGCCAAGCCCTCCAAGGCAAACTCTGAAGCATGATTCATGCAGGGCTCTTTGCTTCCGTCGGATCGGTCCGTCGAATTGGCCCCAAGTGGAATTGGAAACCAAAGGCGGCCAGCTGGCAGCTCCAGGCGAGTTGCGTGTTGTCTTCTGTATGTTTGTTTGTTTGGTGTCGGTTGGTTGATTTCTCTTTATGCTGCTTGGTGTTAGTTTTCTTGGCGCACCTGCCGTTTCGGCTTTCTCGTCTTCAACCACTTGTGCATCTCACATCGAAAACTAATGCGCTGCAGCGAGTGTCGACTGTCCGCTTTAATCACCGATGCGATATGTTTCCACTCGCCCATCTTCAGATCAGATCTGTTTAAGCACGTGGGCGCTCTTTGTTGGGCCTCACCATACACAGGGTGACAACTTGTCGCTTGGTTCAACTATCCTTAAACAACAAGAAACAACAAAGAGGACGAGTTCTAAAGGAATCTCCTTCAATGAAGCTTGACCACAACACCAGCAGTCCATGCAACACAGTTGATCATTTGAGTTGCCTGAAGTTGGGCTACTGCAAGCTGCGGGTTGCAAGGTTGACGTAGCCCTTTTTGAGGGCGCCAAAAAGGGGTGCTGCCGCAGGAGACAACACTGGAACTCACCCTGCTTCGTTACTGAGCCGCCCCGGGGGTCGGAGAACGACTGCGGTTGATTCGAGAGCTACATGTCGACCAAAGCATTTGCCCTACGCAGGAAGCTTGAAGTTCAACCGCAGCTGGCAATGTAAGATGGCTGGAAGGTGCCTGGTTGCTTTGGTGATGCTTGGCTTCGGGTTTTTTTTTTCCCGGGCCAATGTTTTTGAGAATCGGTCAAGGTCCGGTATCAACATGACACATTGCGCTGAAACATAGGCAGATCCGGGCACCTTTGTATGCGAGTTTGAGCGACTTGACAAATTTGTCAAGGCTGCAGAGCCCAACCCTGTGCCCGCTTGTGCTTAGAGCTGGAGTGGAGCGGCGCATACCCCAGCTGTCAACCACAGCGGCGCGAACAGTTTGGGGGAGGGTCCCCCTACTAGAATAGACTACACCAAAAAAAGGGTACCCTTATTCTATCCTCTCTACTGGAGGACCTAGTTATTTGAATATGGCCCATCTGTTGTTGGTCGCCAGAAGTCAGTGCACAAGCGTTGATCCCCCGCCTGCCGTGCTGCAACTGCCAAGCTCGCCCAGCTCGGCCATTTGGACGTAAGTCCAAGCCTTCTGTGAACTGACTGCGCAGTACATGCGCCCGCTGGATGGTAGATTCGCTTTTTGAATTGCGGTCTCACCGATTTGATTGACTCATTGTGTTTTGAGTATCCGTCCTTTTGCCTGGAGCCTAGATTTGATTCGAGAGGTTGCAATCTGTTGGAACACTAACCGATACGCAACAAGACGATTCCTTGCCACATCTTGCCACCCAAAGCGGAAAATATTCCTGACATATATTTGAGACACGTGTGGCCGGACATTTGCTGTTATTATTCTTTGATATGATTGAATAAACGTGTATGTAGAACATTCAATAATATTGTTACTACTTGAAATTGGTTTAAACCATAATGGGATTTGAATGTAGAATGAAATAAATGTACTTTTGAGAGATATTTGCCGAATTGCATTTGACATGATATATTATATGTGTTAGGGTGAAAATGATATATATATATATGTAGTATTGTATCTATAGTGAATTTGATTAGATTGATGGTTGTGTATGTGTATGTGTGTTGTTATTATGAGCATTATTATTTAATGATGGTGGTACATAATTATATTGAAGAAGTATGTTTTATATATTATTGAATAATTGAGTTCTTAGTATATATATATATGTATATATTTGTATGTGTGTGTGTTATTGAGTGGGTTATGATTTGCGATATTGATGGTTTGAGGCTAGGCGATATATAATTGTGGGTGTTGGAATAAGTGTTATTAGGATATGCTGTTTGGGGAACTCTTTGAAGCGTTGGTGATGCCGCGGGCGCATTTTTATGAGATTGATGTAGGCGAGAAAAAACTGCTGCTTGGAGCGCTTTTGGGGGGGGTGCTTTTTTAGGTGATGATGCCTAAACATTACGTTTTTCGTTGTCTGGGGCTTATGCTAGGGTAATTGAAAGAAGATTGTTTTAAAATGTTAGAGTATTGGAGAATGTTTAGGGTCATGGTAAATGGCCGAATAGGTGTTTAATATGTTATTTGCTGTAAAGCATAACTATTATGGGGTATACCGATAGCCCTGGAAAATTTGAAAGCTGTGTTAAAAAAAGGGAGCTGTATACCTCTTACATGGCTTCCGGGGCGGGCTAGTTGGTGCGCGCAGAACCCTTAGGTATGACCAAGATAGATACTGAGGGCGTTAGCACCCAAAGACCTCAAGAAGGCACGACACATATTGCAACGCCGAAGGCCACGGACGGGGATTGCTCTAGCGTTGGCGGATCCGCGCGGTTATGGGCGTATGAAGACGTTAAGCAGCAGGGACAAAGATTGGGGGATCTTGGTTTTTGTCGCGAGAGCTTATATGAAAGGGAAATGACGATAGATTGGGCAGCATGCAAGACAAGGAAATTAGTGGTGGGTTTTAGTTCGGAGATGGCATGCTACAGCCGCAGTTGCAATATGATCTGCCTGAGCAGCGGGGAAATTGAATTTAATTATAGAGTGGCATATTATGAAGCATTGTTTTATAAGCAAATTATCGACTTTATGGGCAGACTTGTGTAGGTGAGGTCTTGGATGGATGGCTTTTGAAGTATTTTAAAGGCAAGCTGTAACGATGATATGGTATTTGGAGGTGAATATTTTATTTCGTTCCTTAAGGTTTATATTTCGGCGAATTTGGCTGACGTCGGAATTGAGGGCTTATTAGAGAATATATTTTTGAAACGTTTATGGACACCAATATAACCTATAATTTTGTATAGAATAATATATAAGGAACAATTTGATGGGAGATTAAGTAGAAAGATTTTGGAGATAAAAGGCAGCAGCTTGACTTTATGGGGCTTTAAAAAAGAAACAAATATTGATTGAATAGATACATATATATATACATATA